GAAACAGACACATTTTCATAGTGAAGTGTTGTGGGCCCAGAAGATCAAACAGCTGGTTGTGTCTGTGGGAGTCGGTGGTGGAAGTGGGGGAGCTGAGTCTTGAAGAAGGAATACTTGGAAGGCAGAAAAGAGAGTAGATGAAGGTGTCTTCGTGTATTTGGCAAATGATGAGAAAGGCAACATTCTACAAGAACTGTGCTGAGTGGAATGTCAGTGCCTGAGTCTAAGAATGACTTTAAGTTCTCTGGTCAATGGGGACTTCATTAACAGAGGCGAAGAAGAGGGCTCAAGAAACAAATTTTTGACGAGCTAAGTTTGACATCCCCCACAAGCTATCCAGGTGGATATATCCAGCTGGCAGCTGGAAATAGGAATGGAAGTTGAGAAGAAAGGTCAATACTGGGGAAAAGTATTGAGAAAACATTAGCAAGATGATGCTAAAACCGCAGAATGGATGATGAAGCTTAGAGAGCAAGAACTTATGAAGATGAAGAACAACCAGTTTCCCTCTTTTACATTTCCCCCTCCACTGCCCTGGTGCCTGGGTCTTGCATCCTCAGTCTCTTATCCCAATCTTCCCCTGAATCCTGCCACAGGAATGACTTGAAGTATATCTCTGAATACACTAGTTTCTCCTCAGAAGTTTTCAGAATAGGCTGGGCACGGTGGCTCATACCTGTAATCTCTGCAACTTTGGGAGGCCGAGACGAACACGTAACCTGAAGTCAGGAGTTTAAGACCAGCCTGGCCAACATGGTGAAACCCCATCTCTAGTAAAAATACGTAAATTAGTTGGGCATGGTGGCACATTCCTGTAACCCCAGCTACTCGGGAGGCTGAGGCAGGAGAATCACTTGAACCTGGAAGGCGGAGGTTGCAGTGAGCTGAGATTGCACCACTGCACTCCAGCCTGGGTGACAGAGCAAGACTGTCGAAGAAGAAGGAGAAGGAGAAGAAGAAGAGGAGGAAGAGGAGGAGGAAGAGGAGGAAGAAGCAGAGGATGAAGAGGAAGGGGAGGAAGAGGAAGAAGCAGCTTTCAGAATAAAATACAGATGCCTTAGCTTTGAGTTTAAAGCTTGCCATTGTTTCTGCCAGATGTACCATTTCATCTGCATCTCCAAATGTTCCTTTCTGCCACACCAGAGTAATTGACATTCCCCAAACAGGTCATGCACTTTCATCTCTGGTTTTTCCATGCCATTTCTCCTGCCCAGATGGCAAAAGAACATGGGCTTCAGAGTCAGAAATATTTGTATTTAAATACTGACTGACTCTTCTGCTAAATAGGGGTATTAACTTGAGCAATTTATTGAATCATTCTGAATCTATTTCCTCACATGCTAAAAGGTCAGATTGGATTACTGTAATTATAATAGCATATTTAGACATCTTTATAGTTGTCAGCATCAATAGGTGCACAATAAAAATCAAGTACCTTTTATTACCATCTGCCTCTTCTCCACTTACCATAATCATGTACTGAGGCTGGATTTTTCAAGCTTTACACCTCTTGGAAACCTTTTAAAATGACCCTCATCAGAATTCATTTTGCCCTTCTTTATGCTCCCTTGGCAGTTTATACCTCTTCAGAATGTAACACAAATTGTCTGTTTCCTCTACTGTATTACAGATTAATTGATTGTAAGAACCTTATTTTTATAGCCTCATTACCTTGCAACTGGTAGATGTTTGAATTGAATTCTGGGAAAATCTACTTTAACATCTTCTCTCTTTTGTTTGGTTTGTTTTTCTCTCTTTTGTTTGTTTTTAGTGTTTTGTGTTTGTTATTAATAGCTCTATTGAGATATCATTCACACACCATGTAATTCACCCGTTTAATATGTACAATTCAGTGGTTTTTAGTATATTCGGAGTTGTACATCCATCACTATAACTGATTTTAGAACATTTTCATTGTCCCAGAAAGAAACCCCATACCCTTTAGCCATCATCTGATCCCTAACCTTCCATCTCCACCTCCCCCTAGCCATCCACTGATCTACTTTTTGCCTCTGTGGATTTGCCTATATTGGACATTTTATTTAAATGGAACCATAATATGTGGGCTTTTGCAACTGGTTTCTTTCACTTAGTAGGATGTTTTAAAGGTTCATGTTGTAGCAGGTATAGGTGCCTCGTTTCTTTTTATTGTAAAAAATTATCCTGTCATATGAATATACCATATTTTATCCTTTCATCAATTAATGGACATTGGGGTTGTTTCCATTTTTGATTATTATGAATAATGCTGCTATGAACATTCATGTACGAGTTTTTATGTGAACATACATTTTCAGTTCTCTTGAATATATACCCAAGAGTGGAGTATGCTTAGTTATATGATAACTCTATTTAACCCTTTGAGGAATTGCCAAACTGTTTTCCAAAGTAGCAGCTGCACTATTTTACATTTCTGTTAGCAGTGTATGAGGATTCTAATTTCTCCACATCTTCACCATCACTTATTATTATCTGGTTTTGGTTATAGCCATTCTAGTGGAACAATATTTTAGTAGTAGAATGTTCTTAATTCAATCAATCAGTGTTTAATTGAGTGCCAACTATGTACCAAACATCATTCTGAGCTATTGGGACCATTGGTGAAGAAAAGAAACAAATATATCTGCCCAGGTGGCTCTTATACTCTAGTGGGAGGACAAACACAATACTTAATAAACATAATAAATTTTTATCCAAGTTGCTAGATGAAATAACATTTCTTTCTTCTTTGCTGATTATCAGACAGGCTTTTTCTTACACTGTCATTTTACCTCCTTATCTTAGAGATGTAATCCAGTTTAATTTAACAACTTTAGTATGGCTATATTCAGCCTATAAGGAGGTAGTAAGCCCTATAAGAAAAAGAGAGGAAAAGAGAAAAGGTGATCAAGAAGGTCAGCAGAAAGGAAGGGATTAGTTGTGTTGTTAAACAGGGTGATCAAGTTGAAGCACATTGAGATGGTGAGATTTCAGCAAAAACTTGAAGGTGAATGAGTTAGTTAAAGAGATGTCAGTGAGAAGAGTTTTGTAATCAGAGGAAACAACCATTCCAAAGGTCCTGAAGTCCAAAGGCCCTGTGTTTAAAACAAAGCAAAGAAGCCAGTGTGGTTGCATGGGAGGTAGCAAGGGAGAGAATAGTAAGAGGTAAGGTTAGTGTGGCTATGAGGCCAAGTCACATAGGATTTAGCAAATACATATTGCATGGGACTCATACTAAAGAATTATTTATTGTTTATCTGAAATTCAAACATAACTGACTATGCTGTAGCTTATCTAGCAACTCTACTTGTAGGCACTTGTAAGGACTTTGACCTTTGTCTTCAGGGGGTGGGGGAGCCATTGTTGGGTTTGCAACAGAAGAGAGACACTATTTCTTTTAGGTTTTTAAAGGATCACTCTGGCTGCTGTGTTGAGAATGGGCTGTGGAGAGTAAAGATGAAAACAGGGAGGCCTGGGAGTCTACTGCAGTAATACACATGAGGGATGACAATGGCTCAGACCAGAGTGTAGCAGCAGAGCAGATGAGAAGTGGTCAGATTCTGGATATATTTTGCAGGTAGAGCCAAAAGCATTTCAACATGAGTTGGATGTGGTGTGTGAGAGGCAGAGAGGAGTCAAGAATGACGTCTAGGCTTTTGGCTTGAACAATTAGAACAGAGCTGCCATTGAATAAAATCGGAGGACTGTGGTTGAAGCAGGTTTAGTGAAGAGAATTGGAGTTTATTTGGGCATGCTGAGTTGATGATAGGTCAAATAAGATGATGCCTAGCCATCAGCCAGCAGAATTTTATGGTATTTTCCATACAGATATCCAATAATGTAAATAAAAAGTCACCCCTTCACTGGGGACAGATTTTTTACTTTTTGTGCTTTATATCTTATTATTTAAAAAGGGTCTTCAGGCTGGGCAACATTGTCAAACCCCATCTCTACAAAAACAAACAAACAAACAAACAAAAATTAGCCAGGCATGGTGGTGCATGCCTCTAGTCCCAGGTACTTAGGAGGTGGAGGTGGGAGGATCAATTGAACCTGGGAGGTTGAGGCTGCAGTGAGCCACTGCACTTCAACCTGGGAAACAGAGTGAGACTCTGTCTCAAAAAAGTAAATAAATAAAAGGGTTTTCTACATCCCTGAGTGAACTTACAAAAAATGCTTAGAGACAGAATAGCCAGGGTTGGATTTCAGTTTCCTGGTTTCTTCTTCAATATCTGAGCTCTAAAAACCAAACTGAATCCCAACATCCCACTTCACTTGGCATTCGAATTCATGTTTCCATAGATGTTTTTCTTCATCTCTATTCATTTCTTTTCATCTATTCTCTAACTTTGAGAGAAAAGAATTTTATTATCTAGATACTTTCTTTACTGTACTTCCAAAGGCTTGAAAATGTGCCCTGGAAATGGAACAGATCACCCCCTCCCCAAAATGCCTGAAACATGGTACCCTAGAGGGCTGGCATAGTGTGATCCCTCGTTGTCCTCAGTATGTGGACAGCCATCTCCTTTGTGTTCCTTTCACTGATTCCAAGTGGTTGAAAACGGATGACTCTCTCAATTCCTTCCCTCTTTTAATCCAAGTTCCTGGGTAAAATGATGTGTGTGTGTGTGTGTGTTTTTTTCCTGTCCTGATTAGCAAGCATACCTTTTCTTGCATGATCATTTATACCTCTTTTTCTCAGACTTGTGGTACGGTTTAATTTGAAAATTTTGATATGGCTATATTTAAAATTATCTGCAACTTTTTCATCTATTATAGGACTGCACATTTCCAAGGATCCATGGGGAAAAATAAATGTTAGTTGGGAAAAAAATCTATAAACGATGGCCTCTTTTCTGGAGGTCTTGTGTGCTGTGTTGTTTTTAATCATAACATTTTAAATTGGCACACTCTTACTGAAAGCATTTTTTCACAATAATTATTATGTTTTGTTTTTATGCTAAGAAGCAAGTACTGATTAAATGGCGAATTACATATATTATGTTGCCTGTGTTTTGCAGGACTTGAGAGAGACAAGTTTGATAATAAAACGGTTTCATTTGAGGAGCACATTAAGTCAGAACACAATATGTGGCATTATTTGTACTTCATAGTCCTAGTGAAAGTTAAAGACCCAACAGAATACACTGGACCTGAAAGTTACGTGGCTCAAATGATTGTGGTGAGTGACCAGAAGATTTTAATTTGTGACTATATTGCATCTTGTAGGTTTTTATCTTTTCTACCCTACCATCCTCCCAAAATATGGAGATTGTAGCATTCATTTTTTGTTAACATTTAAATAGGCCTGTCAATCACTGAAGAACATCTACACTGACTGAATCATTGGTTCCCAGTAGATTCCTTGGTTATTCAAACCAAATTTGAGTCTCCAGTGCACAGATGATATTTCCTGGATTCTCTGTGCAATAACTAGCACCATCTCAGTAATGTCCATCACCTTCTGACTCATACCTTTTATCATTGCTGATGTCCCACTTCCTGAAATCTGGAACTTTCCCATTGTTAAATATGAACAGAAGATTCATACCTTAAGGAATCCCTTGAATTTCAAAAATCAAGAGTTTAAGAAATTGAATTATGTTTGGAGATAGTATGATGTTCAGTCCTAATGGGAGAGCACTGATTTTTCTATCAACACATACTTCGGATTGATTTACCAATGTTGCTGATGAATTTCCACTGATCTTGCCATATCCAGTTGCTTATAACTCCTCAGTAACATCAGGACAGAGGGTGTGGTTGTCCATGATTTGAAGTTTCTTCTGTCTCATAGAAAATTAAAACAAATTGGCCCAAAAGGGAAATTAAAATTACAACTTCAGGGTATACAGATACACATTTAGTATCATTGCATCTTATATAAATGTTTGCATTCTTATAATTAAATATAGCTATAGATTGGATATTCCCCCCCCCCAAAAAAAAAATCTAACAAAATTGTGTTCACCATTTGAGAAAGAGGCCTTAGATGACTCATGATCCTCCTTGCTACTTGGTCCTAAGGAAAACACTTAATAAGCACCAATGTTTGCACCAATGCTGAAGTGTCAGCAAACTTATCATCTACTTAGGAAGAGACTATAGTTAGGGATCAACCAAAGAACATTTTTGGAGGATAACATATTAATAATTATAAGTTCATATCGTAATAATTTACCTTACCTGCCAATATTTATGTCACAAGAGAGCTACATGTAAATTGGATGTTTGTATTTCAGCATTTCATGCTTTGTCATTAATGACTTGCATTCTACTCTAAGTTGTTTTCTCTTCATTCTTCATTTGACAATGGACAAAACCTAACATTGTTTGTCTTCTCCACTTTTGCCTTTCTGCCTCCTCCTCCTTTTAAATCAGAGGAAAAAGGTAATCATTTTAAGGATATATATTCATGGTCATCATTTATACTTTCTTGATCTCATTTGTGAAAAACATTTTGTTTCTGCTTGCTGGGGGGAAAACCATGTAAAACATTATATTTGACCTCACATCACTGTCTTTTATCAAAGTTTGAGTAAGTTTAATCAATATACATTTATTAGACTCCTATTATATGCCTTGAATGAATAGATGTTTGGATATACACTAAAGAGTATCATATATTCCCTCTCTGCCAAGGAACATAGACCTTGGTAAGAGGAAGGGGGGAATAACAAACCCAAAATAGAATATGCCAGGTTTTGCAAGAGAAGTCCAAATGAAAACCTGTGAAGGCTTCAAGATGGAGAGTGACATCCAATGAGAGCAGGTGGAAGGAATTGATGGGGGGGGGGTGGCAATATACCCGAGAGAGGAGGATTTCTGTAGATGGGGAGTGTCTGTCTATAAGAGGGAGTAGCCTGAATAAAAGCATAAACATGAGACACTAGGACACTCGGGAGATCGTGAGTTGCCCAGTTTCACTGGCACGTGGTCCACTTATAGGGAAACTCTGAGAGATCTGACAGAAAATGGAGATTGGAACTTTGAATAAAAAAGGTAGGCATTTGGATGTTATTTCATCAACAAGGGGAAACCTCTAAAGGTTATAACTAAGGGAATAATGTGACCTAGGCAAAAAGGCAGGCAGCAGTGTGCAGGTTGGTCTGGAGAGGAGAAAGAGGAAGTTAAAGATGGAATTTGGCAGCAGATGAGATTAAGGGTGAGGATATGTGAGGACCAGGGAAGTCAAAGAGAGCAAGATGAGCCTGAGATGCCAGCCAGTGTGAGCCTGGTCATTGGGAGAAAGGCGGTGGGTCATTTCAGAAGGTATCTTTGTTAGGGAGAGAAGTTGGTCAGAGAAAAATTCTTGTTGATTTTGAGGTGAGACTGGAGGCCAGGAGTCATGGGTAGGAGGAGCAGTGGTGGGGCAATAGCTTGAGCCTTGGAGCCAGGAGTATCAAACCATTGCACTGTCAGTTATCTGCTGGGTGGTCTTGGATTTCATGGATGAGTCTTGAAACCTGCCTGAGCCTCTGCCTCCTCATCTAAATGGAGGAACTGTTGCATTGCCCACAGGAGGGTTGTGCACTCAGTGAGATGATGTGTAGAAAGTGCCTCATAGAGTGCGGAGACTCTCTCTGTAAATGACAGTTCTCACTGTGACAGTTCACATAGAATGACCATGGAAGCCGTCAGATTAGAGAATGGTGGGGAAAGGGAAAGAGTGTAAAGACAGAAGAGAAAACTTGAGACAGAACCCAGGGGATCCCCCATTCAGGAAAAAGAAGAAAGACAAGCAGAGAAGTAAGAAAGGAGACAATAAAGAAGGCATAAGGAGAGCCAGGAAGAGGAGTATGTCCAAAGCCAAGAGTTGAGGATTTCAGTGTCAGAGTCCAACAGCATCAATTGCTGCAAAGAGGCCAGAAAGAAGAGACAGGTCAAAGCCTTTGGATTTTATGATATAGAAATCACCAGGTGACTTTTTACCTTAAAAGAAGACTGCTGTGAAAATGTTGACCCATCTTTAGCCTTAACATTAAAAGCAGCATTTTACCAGGCACTTGTACTTGAATTTTTAAGTATCCAAGTACTTATCCATGTTTCTGCCCAGCCTCTTCTGTCAGAGCTTTCTCCAGAGCCATGACAAGAGGGATGAGAGCTCACAAGCTTATTCCAACATGAAATGTTTCATTTTCATCCAAACAGTGCACATCTAAGAGAACAGGCTCCATTCCTGAATTTTAATGGCCAGGAGAAGGAAGAGTTATATGAACTTAGGTCTGATGGAAATGAAAAGTTGTTTGCATGGAAGGTTATTTATGGAAATAGCCTTTTTGGAAAAGATCTAAAAATCTGTAGCTGAAAAACCCATTTCAGAAAATCTGTTACTCCAAGCTCTGTGGAGATGATGGCCTTCTGACTATCCTCGGAGAGAGAGAAGATTTTGTAGCACATGGAAAGTTGAAGCACATCTACAGTTCAGTTCAAAGACTGTTCTTTTCCCTTGCATTTCTCTACTCCTGAGGTAACTACTCTTCAAACTTTGGTAGGAAACCTTCCAGACATTTTTCTGCCACTCTTATTTTTGTTCCTTAAAAATAGGTTCACTTAACAAGTTTATTTAGGTGCTTGTTTATCAATAGGGCTTTGGAAGAAGTTTCAAATTCTTTATAATTGATGTTGCTTTTACTCTCATGGATTTATGCAAAGGAAAATGTGAAAGGTCCTTCCTCATATTAGTTCACAAAACAACTCATCTGAATCCTGCTACACTGTTTATGTAAATCTAATTTATACCTTGGGACCCTTAGAAAATGCCTCCTACCTTTCGGGGAAATGGGAAAAACAAGAATAGAGGCCGGGCACGGTGGCTCACGCCTGTAATCCCAGCACTTTGGGAGACTGAGACGGGTGGATCACGAGGTCAGGAGATCAAGACCATCCTGGCTAATGCAGTGAAACCCCATCTCTACTAAAAATACAAAATAGTAATAATAATAATAATAAATTAGCTGGGCATGGGGGCGGGCGCATGTAGTCCCAGCTACTCAGGAGGCTGAGGCAGGAGAATGGTGTGAACCCAGGAGGCAGAGCTTGCAGTGAGCCGAGATTGTGCCACTGCACTCCAGCCTGGGCAACAGAGCGAGACTCCATCTAAAAAAAAAAAAAAGAATAAGTTCTGAGAATGTTCCTCCCTCTGTATATTTTTTCACCTTAAATGCTTCAACTTTGTTACCATGTCAGTAGGGAATATTTGTACTGATATTCATTGAAGCACTGTGTTAGTCTGTTCTGCATTGCTGTAAAGGAATACCCAAGACTGGGCAATTTACAAAGAAAAGAGGTTTATTTGCTTTTGAAAGAACAGAAAACCAAATATTACATGTTCTCACTCATACGTGGGAATTGAATAATGAGATCACTTGGACACAGGAAGGGGAACATCACACACCGGGGCCTGTTGTGGGGTGGGGGGAGGGTGGAGGAATAGCATTAGGAGGTATACCTAATGTAAATGACGAGTTAATGGGTGCAGCACACCAACATGGCACACGTATACATATGTAACAAACCTGCATGTGGTGCGCATGTACCCTAGAACTTAGAGTATAATAGTAATAATTCAAAAAAAGAAAGAAAAAAGAAAAGAGGTTTATTTGGCTCACAGTTCTGTAGGCTGTACAAACATGAAACTGGCATCTGCTCAGCTTCTGGTAAGGCCTCAGGAAGCTTTGACTCATGGCAGAAGGTGAAGTGGGAGTAGGCGTGTCACATGCAAGTGAAGGAACAAGACAGAGAGGGGAGGGAAGTGCCATACTTTTTAACTACAAGTCTAGAGCGAACTAATAGAGTGAGAAATCACTCATTACTGTAGGGAGGGTACCAAACTGTTCATAAAAGATCTGCCCCCATGACCCAAAAGCCTCCCACTAAGCCCCACCTCCAACACCAGGGATCAAATTTCAGCACGAGGTTAGGAGGAGACAAACCATATCCAAGCCATAGCACCTCAGTTTCTTCATTTGTAAAATTCAGATAATAGATAATATTATATCTATTGATGACATTTTAATATGAAATTTGGAGGGGACAAATACCATACTATATCAAACATACATTGTACATAAAGTAATACATTGCTTCTAGGGGTTAGAATTGCAGGAAACACATTTGTGTCTTTGTATCCATCCAATGATAGGATCAGGGGTCTGAAATCAAAACTTAAAACTTTCTTAC